GGATTAAAAATAGACCTGCTCAGATTTTCCTTGGGCTTGATTTTCCTTGGGCTTAATTTTCCAGCCAGACTCTGGCTGGTTTTTACAATGGGCTTTTTTCTTTCCCCTTGTCTTCTCTTTCTGTCCTCCAAGCGATGGACAGTGATCGGAGAGAGGTGGGCAGGGGCACTCACTGCTGGCTTGCTGCCTGGTGCCTCCGCAGTGGCTCTCCAGAAGCAGGAGCCTGCCCAGATGCCGGCACCAGCGGGAGGTCACAGCGGGGCTCTCCTGGCAGCATCCCTCCAGGCCAGCTCCCTTTGCTGGGTTCGGGGATGCCGACATCCCTCCCTGCCCCAGGTATGCTGGGGACTCATCGTGTCCATCCAAACTGGATTTCTGTGCCCTGGAGGCACAGTCCAAGCTCGTATCGCTGTCAACTGCTGACACCAGTCTCTCCTGCTCCAGGATCTGTCCCTGCACCCCAGTGGGAGGGGAGGGAGCATCCTCCATCCTCATCAGTACGGAGCATCCTCCCTGCTCCAGAGCATCATGGCAATGAAGTCGTTGCCAGCAGCGAGGGCAGGAGTGGCACAGAGCTGGGCACCAGAGCGGTGTTGGTGGCAGGGAGCAAGCAGGGAGAGCATGGGAATGCGACCAGGAGCGAGCAAGCGAGCCGATCTCCCTCTAGTGACTCACTTGGGCAACCACAACCGCGCTTCTGGGGACCCAGCAGCCAAGACCCAGTTTGCACAGTTGGATTTGAGCCTGGCTTCATGGCCACAGCTTGTCACACTGCCAAGGGTCCCCATCACCACCCCGGGCAGCTGGCTGAGCTCCCCACAGCATCATCCTTCCATAGTGAGGTGGCGGGCGGGCTGAGACAAGATGATGGGTACATTAGTCCCACCTCTGCTAGTGGCTTTCTGTGTGACCCTGACCCAGGCACCTACTTTATTTGCCCCACCTATTCCCTCCCTGTAAAATGAGGCTGATGATATTTACCCTCCGTTGTAGCGGTGCTCTGAACCTGGCAGATGAGAAGCGCCTGGCCGAAGCTGGATACAGGTGCCTTCAGCCTTTCTGCTAACCCTTGCTCCCCTGTCCTTGCAGCGCTGAGAGGGGAGAACGGCGAGTATTACATCAACGGGAAGCTCTCCATCGACCCCCCACGGCGCTTTGACATCGCAGGCACAACATTCCACTACAGGAGATCCCCAGAGGAGCCTGAGTCCCTGGAGGCCTTGGGACCCACCAACGTCACCCTCTTTGTCATGGTTGGTAACATGGTTCCTTCATACCCCTACCTGGTATGGGCCTGGTCTGGGCTAAAGAGACCTTGCCATGACTACATGGGAATTGGAGCTAATCAGCCTCTGTCCTCGCTGTCTGGAGTAAAGGGGCACAGAGACCAGAGGTAAACTGGGCTAAACTCTCAGGTCTCTCTCCCTAATCTGCCAGGCTTTGGAACAATTCGATCTGTAAGCGCACAGGAGCTTGTTCTTTGATCATGTCACCTTCATGGCTGCACCACTGTCATCACTGGTGGCTGCCGTGTCAATGCTGGAAAGGACTGGAAAGGGAAGGGGAGGAGATGTCAGCTGCCCTGGATTTTAGAGAGCACACTGAGGTGGCGGGACACCATTCGGACAGTCATGACCATGCTGGACTTCGGCGGCACTGATGCCTCAGCGATGCCTTTCTCTGCAGGTCCTTGTGCGGACAGAACTGCAGGGGATCCGGTACAAGTTCAACGCACCCATCGGCAGGGATGCCTCGAACCAGTACTCCTGGCACTACACCCCGTGGACCAAATGCTCAGCGCTGTGTGCAGGGGGTGAGGTTTGACCCCATGTCGGCTGGCGGGGGGGACACGTGTCTGCACTCCCGTGACTCCCACGCACTGTGTCTGCGCCACGTGAGACAGCGCATGGACATTAGCATCTGCTTTGCTCTAAAGGAGCTCTCGGGGTTTCTACATATTCCCACCCTGCGCTCAGCTACATGCAAGCTGGTGTCAGCAGCATGGTCTTGTGGGCAGAGTGTCAGGGCAAACAACCTGGATGCCGTTCTTCGGCTGGACCGCGGTGTAAGTGGTAGAGGTGATGGAAGGTGGCCTTATATGCCTGAAATTCTTTTACTTGTGCGATGCAGGACAGGTTAGCCGATCGCAGCAGCACCTCTGGCCTTCAGATCTATGTCTGTGAACTGAAACACCGCTGATGCTTCCCTAAATCCCTTGGGCTGGTTCCCGTGGGGATTGACACAAGGGTTTGTGCCATGTCTCCTGGCTCTGGAGAACCTGGCTGCAGGTGACTGAGCTGCTATTAAGAAGGGAGAGGCAGTTTCCAAAGCAAGGCTTAATCGTGTTCCCTGTTTCAAGCTAAGGGCCCTAACCTGGTCTTGCATGCTAGTCCTCGACGAAGTGTTGCCCCATCGTGTTCCAGCTATTCCCCCCAGTGCTGCCCAGAAAGTCTCACAAGGCCAAGGTTAGAGCAGGTTTATTTGAGGACAAGATCCTTGGAATGCTTTGATCCTCCATCCTCTGCAAACTCTGCCGGGTACTGCCCTGGCTGGTGACCCTTCACCCCATCCATTCTTTCCTGGAGATGTTAGAGGCAAAAGGAGGCCTTCGTTATGAATAGAGAAGTAGGTTCAGGCTTGATGAGGTGCAGTGACAAGTGGCTGCCCCGTCACATTGCCCACGCGGGAGCAGAGCTGTGGGGCTCGTACCTGCAGCCTGGCTCAGCGCAAGCCTCAGGGTCCTCCTCTCTTTCCCCCTTGCCTCTTTTTCTTGGCAGGCAGCCAGATCCAATCTGTGGTATGCAAGAAACAGTCCGATGGCTCAACTGTCTTCAACCATTTCTGTAGCCCTGAAACCAAAATGCCAGAGCGACAGAGGCCGTGCAATACCGAACCGTGCCCCCCAGCGTGAGTACCATGGCTTGGAGCAGATCAAGGGAGTGTGGGTGGACTCAGCGCACTCCCTCAGAAATTGTCCCAGCCCCTCCCTGGCTGGCCCTTGCCTCTCTTTTGAAGCGGAAAGGGAGATGTGGAGGAACTCTGTGGTTCAACTGGAGCTGCCTGGGAGGCTGTGGCCAGAGTAGGAATAGGGCTGTGTACAGGAGTATGGGAACAAGCATGGAGTATGGGAACAAGAATGGAACACCGTGCCCCTTGCAAGCTTTGCTGTTTTACCTGTCTCCAGGTGGGTGATTGGGAACTGGTCTGAATGCAGCCGAAGTTGCAACGAAGGCGTCCGCACACGCAGTGTCTTCTGCAAGCGTAAGATCTCTGGCACCGAGGAGAAGACCTTGGATGATGCTTCTTGCACCCATCCACGGCCAAAGATGCTTGAGCCTTGCAATAATCAGACGTGCCCTCCAGAGTGGGTCGCCCTGGACTGGTCTGAGGTAAGTGCTTAACATCGGCCCTCACCTCTCTGATGGCACTGGTCCTTAGGAGGCCACGAGGCCAGAGCATCGGTGATGGCTGCTGGCCCTGGAAAGTGTAATGTGGGAAATGGTCTTGCAGCTCAGGAGACAGGGCAAGGTGGGAGCACTGGTGGGGAGAGGCAGTGCCGCCCCTCTCTGCTCTTTGCCGTACATCCTGACCGCGTGTGTCCTCTCTTCGCAGTGCACCCCAAGCTGCGGGCCAGGTTTCCGCCACCGCATTGTCCTCTGCAAAAGCGGTGACCACAGCACAACACTGCCCACCTCCCAGTGCTACGAAGGTTCCAAGCCCCCGACCAGCATGAGGTGCAACCTGCGGCGCTGCCCACCGCCACGCTGGGTGACTGGCGAGTGGGGAGAGGTAGGGACAATCCTTTCCATGGAGCTATTGAAGGAGAAGACTCTGTCTCCCCAGCCCCTCAAATCCTAGTGCACGTGAGGCTTTTACCTGCCAGCAGAACCCAATGCGGCCACCACAACTATCTGGGGGGCAGCAGGACTCCGTGGCGGTGTTCTTTGCCCCCACTTGGCTCAGGAGGCCATTGTGAAGGTGGCCCAAGCGCACAGCTGACCCAGAGTGTCTCCTGGGCTTAGCAGGGCCCCACAGAAGTCGTTAGAGGGCCCCACGGGTGTCTGGGGGGCAGCAGGACAGTAGGGATGGGGAGCAGTGCGGTGGGAGTGATGGGCTGCAGCTGTGGGCTGGGCCAGCTGCAAGTGGGGCCACCGCTGGTCCATCTGCCACAGCCCAGCCCTCGGCGCCTGTAGCAGGGCGACGCTGGCAGTCCTCCCTTCCCTCTAACACCCCTTGAGCTGCAGGGTGACATCGGGGTGCAGGAGGCCTGGGAAAGGCTGGTGATTTAGGGCTGGATGGAGAGACCCTTCACTGAGTCCTGGAGGTTCGGACCAAGCTTTTCAGGAAGCAGGGCCGCAGCGCTCGGCCATGCCGGTGAAGTCCCTGCAGCTTCTGGTGAGGGAAGGGACGACTGCATCCAGCACCCTTTGCACCTCCTAAGACCTGGCCATGCCCTCTCCCCCAACGTTATTAAAGCCATGGTGGCCACCACAGCTCCGTGCTGTGCTGTTTCCCGGCAGTGCTCTGCGCAGTGTGGCCTTGGCCAGCAAAGAAGATCCGTCCAGTGCCTGGCTCACACCGGGCAGCCGTCCAGCGACTGCGTGGAGACCCTGCAGCCACCTGGTATGCAGCAGTGCGAGACCAAGTGCGAATCGGGACCTACGGACAACCCTGAAGGTGAGGGAGATGGGGGGACTGGGGAGGGAAATGCGGAGCCCTGCCAGCCTCGGGGGACACCGGAGCCAGCACAGCCCGATTTGGGCTCTAGGTGCTGTGCTGTGGGGTAAGGCTCTTGTGGGGAGACCTGATGCTGTCCCCTCTGGTCCCAGGCCAAACTGGTGACCCGGGTAAATGAAGTAACTGCACCTTGGCAAAGAGAGGCTTTTGACTGTGAGGTTCTCAGTAGCTTCTTCAGCACGGCTGCATCTTGCTGCTTGCTGGCAAACAGCCTCTGGGAGCTGGGCATCGGGGTGCAAAAGCAGCTTGCAGAGGGCTGGTTAGAATTCCCCTGTGGAGCTCCTCACCCCCGAGGCAGCTGTAACCCTGCTTCCCTCTGTCGCCCATCCAGAGTGCAAGGATGTGAACAAGGTGGCCTACTGCCCGCTCGTCCTGAAGTTCAAGTTCTGCAGCCGGACCTACTTCCGACAGATGTGCTGTAAAACATGCCAGGGGCACTAGGGACACAGCGTGACCCCCGTGGGAAAACTGGAAGGCAAAAGCTGCGCTGGAGGGCCGCCGAACCGTGCCCTTCCTCTCCGCCCTGGGAATCTCCCTTGGGTCTAACACAGACACTGGTCGTGCTTCCAGTGGGAGCCGGCGTCACCCAAACCTGTCCCCCAAGACACGCACCCTTTGCCCCTGAGCTTCACAATGGCAGGTTCCCAGTTAAACCACTGCCAGCCGCTGCAGAACCCGCCACGGCCCCGTGCGACAGGAGCCGGTGGATGAGCGGTGGGAGAGGGAGAAGCTGGGCAGAGTGCGGCAGCAGGGACATTACTTGAAATTCTGACATTGTTATTTATTAGTAGCGGACCCAGGTCCCGCAGGCGCCGAGACAGCCACCGAAGCGGCACCACTCGCCCCGCTCCTGCCTCGTCCTGTTCCGTGCCCGTGTCCCCAGGGCATCGCGGGACACCGTGGTCCGCAGCGGGGCGTCCCCGGGGAGGCTGAGCGCACAGGGAGCTGCTGCCTTTCCCTCGGGGATCGCAGGGGAGACAGGGAGGAGGTTTCAGGCTCTACGGGTGACAAGTGTGGCTTGTGGCTTCTAGGCGATGGACGAAGATGAGCTGCTGTGGGGAGTGAGGTTGGAGCAGGAATTTTGTTATCTTGGTTTGCATCCTGTCAGCTTGGGACATGCAGCAGGGGACAGAGAGCAGGTCACTCTGAGCAGAGCGGTGACACCAGTTTAACTGGGAGAGGGGATTATTCAAACTCTCTTAACAACCTCCTTCGATTGGGGTGTCCCCCTATTTTTCCTTAAAGCCCCTGTCACTGTTATGACCATGTTTTATTCCAGAGACACCTCAAAGCACGAGCTGAGGTCAGGGCTGAGGCGTGCTCGGGCTTGCAGTCACTTAACGGGCGTCAAGGACGTGCCGGGCTGCAGGACGCAAAGCAAAGGAGGATGCAGGACGAGAAGTGTCTTCGTCAGTGTCCCCATCGCCAAGCCGTGACTCGGGAGCAGTCTGCCTGGTCCTGGCAGGGCCCTCCCCAGCGAGCGCCACGGCCTCCGCGGCTGCTTTGCCTTCAAAGGTGCTTTACTTCCAAAGGTGCTTTGTCTCCAAAAGGTGCTTTGCCTCCAAAGGCAGCCTCGCTGCATGCCGCTGTGGCCTCAGGGTGCCGGTCCCAGTGCCACCCGCTCCTCTGCCCCCAGGAGACCTCCAGTGATGGGAAAAGAGCAGGCTTGAAATTCCTCCAGGTCACCTCCTGGCCAAATCTGGGCCAACACGTGTCTTCTCCATGGGCCACCACAGCCTGTGGAGGAGACCTGAATATCCGATCTACAAAGCATGTTCTTTTTGTTATCATTATTGTTACCATTATTGTTGTTATTATTATTATTTTCAGGCCTTTCTGCATCACAATGATGGGAAATGTTGTCCAAAGCCATGTTCTGTTCTCCTTGGGGTTTATCCGTACGGTGCAGGGAGGCGGACACCCCTCTTTCCCCAGAGCAAACCTCTCCGCCCTGCCAGCCCCCATGTGTTACTCTACCATCTGTATTTTTACCCGCTCGTCAGCCGATCGCAGCTTCTCTGGTGCTCAGCAAATCCCGTTTGGCTGTCGAGCGGGCCTTCATTTGCCTTCCTTCCTGGTGCCATGCTCCGTTCTGACATTTTGGTGAGGGGAGGGGGTGTTTTCACCTTTTTATATAGATATATGTATAATGAAAAATGTTTAACATACTAACTCTGAGGAGGAGCGACGTAACGGCATGATTTATAATAAAGGAGTAGCTACGATTGTGGGCGCAGCTTCTGGTCCCAGTCTTGTTTCTCGAGCGGCAAGCCTGGGCTCTGGGCGGCCCCACACCGCGATGCTCCTTGTGCTCACGCTGAAGGAGGGGTTTGGGCGGCGGGGGGGTGGTTCCCTGCAGCCCGAGTGAGCAGAGCGGGTCAGGGAGGTGGAGATTTGCCCAGAGCTGCTGCATGGCACGTAGGAAGAGGCTTCTACGGGCAGACCCCTCGCAGGTTGGCTGTGCACCCCAGGGCACACAGACCCCGTATCAGTAACGCTGGTTTGGGATTTTAGGGGGGGATTGTTTGAAGAACTACATGTCTGAAACACCGCTGATGCTTCCCTGAATTCTTTGGGCTGGTTCCTGTGGGGATTGACACAAAGTTTTGTGCCATGTCTCATGGACAGACTCTTTAGCAGGGCCTGTTGTGACAGGACAAGGGGGAATGGTTTTAAACTAAAAGAGGATAGGTTCAGACTAGATATGAGGAAGAAATTTTTTACGATGAGGGTGGTGAAACACTGGCACAGGTTGTCCAGAGAGGCGGTAGATGCCCCATCCCTGTAAACATTCCAGGTGAGATTGGACAGGGCTCTGAGCAACCTAATCTAGTTGAAGATGTCCCTGCCCACGGCAGGGGGCTTGTTCCCGAGGACCTTTAAAGGTCCTTTCCAACCCAAACCATTCTATGAATTGTGAGTCTCTGATTCCAACCTGGCTGCGAGTGCCTGAGCTGGCATTCAGAAGAAGAAAGAGGCGGTTTCCAAAGCCAGGCTTCACCATGTGCCCTGTTTCAAAAGCTAAGGGCCCTGACCTGGCCTCGTGTGCTAGACCTCGACAAAGTGTTCTCCCTTCTTGTTGCAGCGATTCCCCCCAGTGCTGCCCAGAAAGTGTCACAAGGCCAAGGTTAGGACAGGTTTATTTGAGGAGGAGAGATCTCTGGAACGCTTTGATCCTCCGTCTTTGGCAAACTCTGCTGGCGAGAGGCACCGCATATCTGACCACTGTTGAGGAGCTGGGCCCACGCCGAATGAGTCTTGGGTGGGGCCAACACCACATATCTGACCACTGCTGAGGAGCTGGACCCACGCCGAATGAGTCTTGGGTGGGGCCAGAGCCTCTCAGCGTGACGGGCTTCCTTCCTCAGGCATAGCCTGGGATCAGCCTTGCGGTACCTGTCTAGGTCTGCTGGAATGGGATCGACATCCATGGGCTCCTCCTGTTCTTCCACTGGGTCAACATCCTCCTGATGGCCTAGTGGGCCAACCTCCATGGCCTCCTCCTGGTCTTCCACTTGGTCGACGTCCATGAGCTCCTCGTGGTCTGCCAGTGGGTCGACCTCCATGGGCTCCTCCTGGTCTTCCACTGGGTCCTCAATGGCCTCCTCCTGGTCTTCCAGTGGGTCGACCTCCATGGGCTCCTCCTGAGCGTCCACTGGGTCGACCTCCATGGGCTCCTCCTGAGCGTCCACTGGGTCGACCTCCATGGGCTCCTCCTGAGCGTCCACTGGGTCGACCTCCATGGGCTCCTCCTGAGCGTCCACTGGGTCGACCTCCATGGGCTCCTCCTGAGCGTCCACTGGGTCGACCTCCATGGGCTCCTCCTGATCGTCCACTGGGTCAACCTCCATGTGCTCCTCCTGAGCGTCGACTGGGTCGACCTCCATGTGCTCCTCCTATCGTCGACTGGATCGACCTCCATGGGCTCCTCCTGATCGTCCATGGGCTCCTCCTGAGCGTCCACTGGGTCGACCTCCATGGGCTCCTCCTGAGCGTCCACTGGGTCGACCTCCATGGGCTCCTCCTGATCGTCCACTGGGTCAACCTCCATGTGCTCCTCCTGAGCGTCGACTGGGTCGACCTCCATGTGCTCCTCCTATCGTCGACTGGATCGACCTCCATGGGCTCCTCCTGATCGTCCACTGGGTCGTCCTCATCGTCTTCCATTGGGTCGACCTCCATGGCCTCCTCCTGGTCTTCCGCTGGGTCTACATCCGTGGCCTCCTCCTGATCGTTCCATGGGTCGACCTCCATGGGCTCCCCCTGGTCTTCCAGTAGGTTAACTTCTATGGGTTCTGTGCCGTCCTCTGCAGTTTTCCTTTGCCAACCAAACAGTTGCCACATGTCCTCTTTGGTTGGGCAGCTCTTGTCGTTGCCCTGAGACTGCATTTGGCCGCTTCGTTGGGTGTTGGGCTGCAGCACCCAGAAGCTGACAATCGCTGCCTCAGGCTTCCCCGCTCCTATCCTGCTCCGATTGCTGGATAGAAGGGTGAGCAGTGCAGTGAGTGGTGGCCAGGGGCAGGGCTGCCTTTTTATGGGGCAGGGGACAGTGGGCAGTGAGGCGGTCGTACGTGTCATCAGGAGGCCATTGTGATGTCGGCCCAAGCGCATGGCTGAGCATGTGGCCCTTTGGTTGTCAAAGGCCTGGCCTGAAAGAGGACCTGCCTGGGAAGAGCAGGCTGCTCTGCCCCTGCCTGGTCCCACACGGGTGGGACCCACTCTCCACACCTCCTGCCACCCTGCGTGTGCTTGGGCGAGGAACTGCCTGTCGTGGTTTAACCTGGCAGGCAGCCAAATACCATGCCGCCGCTC